GGGGAGGGCGGGGGGAGGTGGGCTGGGGAAGCTAATTAGTAAAAGGCCCAGACGAGATAAAAGGAGACGGAAGACCCTTCCCCATCCTAGCATTGGATGCGCTGGACGGGAGTTACAGGAGCTGCAACCCAAGACATCTGGAGGGCATCAGGCCGGGGAAGGCCCTACCAGGCAGTGCAGCTGGAGCCAGCGGTTTGCTGGGTAGGGGCCGCCTCGCCCCCCCAGGGATGTTCAGCCCAGGGCTGCTGGGATTTGAGCATTTTCAGGCCAATCCTGTTTGGCACCTGGAAGCCAAACTCCGTTTCTGGAAGCCAAACAGGACCGCAGAAGAAGGAGAAGCCGCTCCTGGGGAATCATTTTTCCAACAGGAAAAGGGCAGCAGGCAGGCTGGGTGGCTCTTGAGGAGCTTTGAGAGATGCTGCCATTACGGTTGGATCGAGGCAATTAGCAGGACCTCCTCTCTCTCGGATTTCTAAAGACATTATTTTAAAAGGTAGTCCCAGAAGAGCAAACGCTCCTCGTGCCCTGAATGGACCTAAGCCACTGGCCGGTGCCCGCTGGTGCCCGCTCCCTCCATGCCTTGCAGAAGCAGCCAGGGACTGGTTGGAGCACTGGGAATACCAAGGGCTCCCTGCCAAGGGGGGAGGCCTTACCTCTCAGCCAGGCAGGGGGAAACCCTGTGAACACAGCCCAGAAAAGCCCACCTCAGCTGTGGGCACTGGGGCACCCGGGGACTTACCTGAAGGGCCCCTGGGTTTTTGGCTTTCATCAGCCCGTTTGCCTGACCAGCTTCACCAGGGTGGAACACGCCCCCCCCCCTCTATCTTAGGGGCTGCTTCCTTGCCTGAGAATGGGGGCCCGGATGGTGAACTGAACGCCAGCTTGGGGTCAGACTGGGCCCGACCTGCAGGTTGCTCCTCCTCTCTCGTGCAGGGACTTCCAAAGCTTTGGGGGCACCTTTTTCTCACACTCAAGATTTGCAGTTTGACAGACAATTTAATAGACTTCCCTTGTGCGGAAGGGGTTACGGAGAGGGCGGAGATTAAAGCCGGGCGTCTTCTCCATACCTTGCCTGCCCACCTGATGTGCACTATAAAATGGGTGTTTGTGAGGCCGAGTAACAATGTTTGACAAAAATAGGCCACTTTGCCCAAACATTGATCTTTCTGGAGCTGGGAATTGCCCTTCTGGGTGGAAACCGAGCAGGCCATGCTGAAAGTTTTACTGTTTCCATAAAACCTTTGAAACTCCACGGCAATTAAAAGAACCCTGCTCTGACCTGGTGCATAAAAGCATCGGACCCGCTTGTGGGTCTCATCTGGTTGCCTCTTCAGCAGACCCGCCTGCCGTCTCAGGGAAGGGTGAGGGTGGCTGGAGGGACGAACCAGGGTGCCAAACGTGGCCTGGCGGAGGGAGCCAGGACAGCAAGTCCTGCCCCAAGGTCTTCCTCCCCAACCTGTGGCCCACCTAGCAGAGGACTGCCCACGTCCTCTCACGGAGAGCAAGTTTCATGACCAAGTGGGGCTTGGTCTTGGAATGGCAAAAGTGCTAACGGTCCACCCAGCTCTGAATTTAAGGAAAAATGGACCTCCATGTTCCGAGGCAGTGCCCCGCATGGGAGGAAAAGAGCAAGGACCGTTTGTGCCACATTGCCTCAGAACGTGGCAGCTCCACGCAGGTTGCTGAAGACAGGTGCCCAGTCGCCTTTGAGGAAGAACAAATGCATGGCAGATTCAGGGCAGAGAACTTACCCACCGGGATGGTCAGCCCATGAATCTTGTCTGCCCAACCGGCAAAGTACCGCAAGGTCTTGATGACGCCATGAAGGTCAACGTAGAAAGCCTGGAGGAATGGCTTCCCACTGTTCAGCGACTCCATGGTCTGGAAGGCCAACAGGAAACGCATGAGGAGTCCACAGCAAGAATCAGCGCTTCGTTATCAGCTTGGTAATAGAAATAGCCGTGAGGAGTTTCAGGCGGGGACTGACTACTCCTGGAGCCTGGTGCAACAGACTGAGCCGGCAAAGCTGTGGCCAAGCCAGAATGCACTCATGCGTCTAGTCCACGTGAAGAGAGATGGCGCAGAGCTTCCCCGGATGGCCGATCCATGTACCAGCAGAATGCCCCCCAGCGGCCTAACGAAGGCACAATTTAGGTCAAGATCCACCTGGACTTCGGTAGGACACTGATGTGATTCAAGCAGAGCGCCTCCCTCGCAAGCCTGAAGCCCTGAGACACTGCTGGGGTGCTCAGGATATGCCACCGTGGCCCTGCGTCAGGCACTCCTGCCAGTCCTGTCCTTTCGCAGGGCACCTCAAAGCCATTCCTGCCAGCTCTTCTCCAGCACGTCCCCCTGAAAGGAGGGGAGACCCACAGAAGCACCACCAGTCTCCCAGGAGCGGCGATGCTGCCCTGAGATGCCATCCACCCCTCCCTCTGTGACTGCTCTCCCCAGATCTTCAGACCGCCTTTTCGGCCCCAGCACGGGGCAAAATGGCACTGCCTTCCTGCCCCTTCTCAATGCTGAATCAGGGCTCAGAAAGAGGGGCTGGAAGTGTCCCTCCAGGGAGAGCTGAAGTGGGCCCCTCTGGCAGCCAAGATATCTTCTGTGCCCCGCACCGAGGAGGGTGCTCTTCCCCACAGAGGCTCAAAACCAGCCGCAGGCCCTTGTTTAAGGGGATATTCCCCTGCTCCTCTTAAGGAGCCCCATAAAATGTTTGCGGCGATCACTTAAATCACTTTTAAGAGGCACCATTATCTGCCCATGATGGTTGCCGGCAGAGGAAATGCATCCGTGGAAGCCGCTGGGCGAGAGCCATAAATCCAGTTGATGCACAGAAGGGCAGTCGCTCCATTTCCCCCTGCAAGCGGGGCGGGCAGCCTTGTATGTGGCGGACCCCGTTCAACAAAGGTTTGGCTCAGGAACCACAAATCCAGCCACCGGCAGACGGCCGACTTGATTTGCTGAGCCCTTCCCTTCTCCCTGTGGTGATTTTACAGCGTACGCTGGTGGTAAGATGATTTAAGTGTTGACAAAGCTGGAATTAAGATGTTTGCTGGCTTAGTTCAAAGCACTTGACATGTGGAAAATAACATTAGGAACGCCACCGTGTCGGAGCTAACCACGTGCTCCACCACAGTGTGCCTGAACCGTGCAGCTCCGTGTCTGTTTGGCACGCTGGACGGGAAGTAAAACCCAGATCTGCTCAGGTCTGAACATTATTGCTTTAGTGCAATTGTCAGCAGCTTCTGCTGCTCAGCCTGGATCTTCCCTCGGAGCCCAAAATCTCCTGCGGGCAGTCCCGTAGGTGCTCCCCCGAGAAGCCGTGGGCGAATCTGCCCAAGCAGACCGGGGACACCCGGCGGTGCTTAAAAGTAGGGGTGGCTGCAGGTTGAACTCCTGGCACGCACTCCACCCTCAGAGCTGCATCCCCAAAGAGCAAAATGTTCCACACCCCGGTCCTACAGAGCCCGCCTGAAGACGGTGCAAAAACTTTGGGTGGGCCAGGGTGCAGCAGCCCTAGTCAGGGTCTCCTCCGGAGGCTTAAGAAAGTCAGGATGGCGGCCACAACCATGGGATCAAAGACCCTCAACATCCACTAAGCGGTAACGTTAATTGTTTAAAAACCCTGGATGATTAAAAAAAGATATTCATCCAACGTGCGGGGAGCAGGGCAAGCACAGGTTGTGAGTGAAAAGAAAAGATGCCTCTTCTAAAATTATGCTCCAGGCCCCTACCTGGACACAGTCCGCACCAAAAGGACGGCTTTAGTGTGTTCTCCTCGCGTGTAAATGGTTAGGTCGACTGAACTGACTCCAAGTCCATGAATGCTCTGGCAAGTAATCGTGGCCCTGGTTCGTTCTCTACCGGCGATGGCTCAGACAGAAGGGTTTTTTTCAAAAGCCAGTGTCGCTTCCTTGGGACAGGGCTTAGCCATTTGGGGATGTTCCTGCCCACCCCACCCCGGTCTGGTCCCCCGCCCAACTCACAGCAAGAAGGCCCCGGTCTCTCTCCACCAGGTCAGCCAGTTTTTCCAAGAGGCGTCCTCGCTCGGAGGCGTCCTTCCTCCGCCACACCGAGCCCAGGGAGAAGGCCAGCCGAGCGGCCCTCACCGCCTTGTCCGTGTCGGCCTGCAAAAGGGGAAGCCCGGGTGGGTCAGGGACACTTGGGAGGAGAGAGGCGTCCCTCCTCGGGGAAAGCAAGGCGTTGTCAGAGGGAAGGGAGAACCGATGCTCTGGTGGCATCCGTCCCCGGAAAACCCGCCGCGGAGGCAGGCGAGCTGAGGAGGGCCATCCCGCCCAGAGCAGCCTTCTCCAGCCCAGGCCCCTGGGAGGGTGGCCGGGAGAAAGGGATCCGGCCTGGCCGGCCCGTGGCAGCGGGGGCTGCTTGCCAGCAGCACTCCAGGGACCCTGGTCTTTCCCATCCCATCCAGAGAGACTGCGCTTGGCACAGAGCGGTGGCCCTGCCCTGGGTGCTGGGCTGCCCCGAGCCTCCTGAGCTGGCCTGGCACAGGAGCACATGGCCCTTTGGAAGCCAGGAGCCAGGCTGCCTGCTGGGCTTGGGGGTGGCTCAGCTCTTCTTCTGAAGCTGGCGGGGCTGCTGGGGTGCTATGGCCCCTCTGTGCTTCAGTTGGTACCCAGAGCCTCCGCCTGAAAGCAGCCCCCTGCCACTTCTACGGCCCTGGGGGGGCGGGGAGACCCGGGGACCAGCCCTGCCTTGAGCATGGAGCTCGCTGGGCAATCTGCTTTGTGGCCAGCCGTTTTTCTCTCAGGCTGCCCTACCTCATAGGACTGTTGTGGGAAGATGATGAGGGGGGACCACCATGTTGGCCACCTGCAGCTCAGAGCAAGGGCAGGCTAGATATTTACCTTGTCGGCTTCTTGCACCTCACAGATCTGCTCTCCCGTTGCAGGATTGAATACGGGGAACGTTTTTCCACTCTCCGAGTTTTGCCACTCATTGTTGATAAAAATCTGAAATGGGAAGAAAAGAATGGGTGTTTTTGTTGCCGTTTACTTTTACTTTTCCTTCGCTGTGGGGGGTGCTGGCCAATGTCCTCCTGCCCCCCCAAAGACTCCTTTCGCCGCCGAGCCTCTTCTTCCCAAACCTGCAATCTCCATCATCCCCAGTCCACATTACTTTCCCCCAGGGATCATGGGAGCTCGAGTTCCACTTGCACGAAGGTCACCAGTTGGGAAAGGCTCCCAAGGCTGATTTCCAAGATTTGTGGGTTCCCTTCCGTGAGCCAGACAGAGGTTGGCACTGAGGGTGGCTTTCTGTGCTGCTGCGCTGGGTCCTTCTTTGCAACTGCCAGAGAGACCCCATCGCCATCGCGTGGCCTTAGTGGAGCTGCGAGCGCCTCCGCTTTGGGCAGAACCAGGGCCCATCTGCCCTCCGAACCCCCAAGGGGGGTCCCCCCTTTTCTTGGGCCTGGTCAATAGAAAACGGCCACAGAGGAGGGGGATTTGTGCCCCTGAAAACCCCTCCCAGGAAAGGCAAGAGAAAACCCAGGGAGCCAAGGGGGGCCTGGCAGGAGCTGAAGTGTTCCAAAGAGCGACCTGCGAGCAAGCAGGCTGAGACCCAACAGGGCGGCCGAGCAGGGCAGCGATGCCTCTCCGGGTTCTGGGCCTCAGCTGTGGAAACGGTTGGGAAGATCTCAGAGCGCCGGGAAGGAGGCTGGAGGAATTGCTACTGTTAATGGTTAACATTCACTCCTTCCTGTCCCACGTTCTATAAACAAAGCACAGGCTTCGCCAGATCATTTCTGTAAACGGAGTGCCTTCAAATTGGCAGTAAAATGGGAATATTTACTCTCTCCTCCATATAAAGTACGTCGTCCAATCTCTTGGAAAGGTTTCAAGTCCTGAAATCCAGCAGCTGGCGGCTTTACAAGCCCGACCTCATGCTGAAATAACTCACTTTTGGGGAGTTTTAGGCGTTGGTGCCAGGTAGTGCCATTCCACGAGCCCCCTCCCCACCAAGACACGGATTCTTCAGCGATAAATTAGGCTGTGCCAGCACTTTTTAAGAACTTGTCCGATTCCAGGGGACATTGATTAAACGTTGAGAGCTGTACATTTGATCTGACTTTCATTAGGGCCAGTTCGTAAAAATGCCACCGGCTCGGACAAGCGATGACACATTGTGCGAACAAGGGATCCCTGCAAAGCCTCAAATGGGGTTTTCATTCCACTCGTTTGTTTTGTCCTTATTTATTGCGACCATTGTAGTGGGCAACTTTAAATCAAGGAAGCTATTTGACAGCAAATGTTGCTATCAGTGAATTATATATAGCTCATCCCCAAGACCAGATGAAGAAAGGGATAACCCCAGGGAAAAGAGGGCCCCTTTGTAAATCATGCAAAGATTGGCAACGCCCAGAGTGGGCATTGTTCCTTCTCAACTGGGAAAGCTCTCCGGCCGGTACGATTGCCCTGGAATCAATGTTAATTAAGGCTGGCTGCAACCATAAATCAGCCATGGGATTTTTACAACTTAATTCAGCCTTAAGCGAGAGTGTGTGTGTGTGAATATATGGTAACTGATTAACCAGGTTTCCCAAGAGTTGCTAGGTCATGTGTTTTGATTTGAACCCAGAGTTACGGTTCTTGGGGTGTGAAAACAAGGGGAGGGGGCGGATCTGGTGTTAGCCATGGGCATTGTGATCTAATGCGGTCCGAGCACCGACTCTGCGGGGGCAGGCTCTGGGGGGCAGCGGGTGGCATGGTGGGGACGGGAGCCAGCAAAAGCCTCCACCTGGGTGGGAAAGCCTCGTGGAGGCCTGGAAGGCAGGAGGGCCTGCAGACAACCCTCCTTGCTAGCCCAACCAGCCCTCGTCCAAGGAGGGGGCAGCCCAAAGGACTTTTCACGCCACCCACGCCCTGGCATCTGCAAGGTCTCTCTCTCAGCTCAGCAGCCCCGGGGAGGCAAAGAAGGGCTTCCCACCACGTGGCCCCTTTCTTCCCCTCCCAAGAGCCGGATGGCAACTGAAATGGGCTTGGAGGGGGCTCTGCTCTGATTGCTCCCTCTCCCTGGCTGGGCCACGCGGGCATCCTCTTCCCTGCACCAAGTACGGGGAACGAGCCAGCTTGCCCCGTCTCAGTGGAAGCGGAAGGAAAGAGAAGAAGAGGACGACCAGCAGCAAGGGGGAGGGACTCAGTTACGTCCGCGATGGGGGCACCGTTGGAGGACCTGAAAGACCAGGTTAGGGACAGACTGTCGTGGAGAAAATCTGTGTGGTCGACAACTTGATGGCATATCGTCATCGTCATCATCATCATCAAGATCATCATCACTTCCTCCGTGGCAAGCCCTGCTCGATAATCCTCGGCCCTCCGCTCGGGTTTGCCCTAAACCCCACAGGCACAAAAAACCTGGTCTAGTAGCCCCCACCGTGCACAGCGTGGGGGCAAAAGCTCTTGGGGCCCCAGCTCTACCCTGCTTGGGCTCTGCCTGGCCCCCTGCCCCTTAGCTACGCTAACCCGCTGGGCAAATGCCACTTTCCGAGCAGCACTGAGAAAAGGTGCCCATCACCCTTCTCTTAGCTGCATGTCAATGGACCTGCGGCCAGATTGAAGGGTAGAGAAATTTTCAGGAACCCACATGGAATAATTTCAAATCCAAAAACATCTTCCAGATGGGGGTGTCTTTTTCACAGGTACTGTTTGGCAAGCCGGTAAACAACGTGCACTTTGCTATGGCCGGCTCTTTACTGAATGCAACCTGGAGAGACCGCCCACATTCCTCTGGTGCTCACCTGGAAGACAACCGTTTTCTTTTAAATGGAAAGCTTTAGCCCCAAGGTTAAAGTTGTCCTCTGCCTTGGCAGCAAATCAGCCGGGCTGGCAAGCTGGGGAGCTCCCCGTTTCCTTTCCTGAAAGATGCTCATGTGCTGTGTGTGGGTCAGATCCCGCTTCATGCTGCTCGTGATGACGTCAGCAAGCTTCTTCTCAGACCGGCCGCCCCACATACCAGCAGGAACAGTGGCCCGTGGTCAGCGGCAAAGACCAAACGCGCTTCCCCAGCCCGTGGAGATGGAATTCTTTTCCCTTGGTTTTAATAAACCAGGTTCTTGTACTTTTTGCAATTCCAGAATGTATTTTTTCCCCTTCAGTGCAGGAAAGGGATTTTAACATCCACATAATAGCAGGTTCCCATAGGGGAGAAGCAGGTTTTTGGATGAATCAGAATTTCCTAGCTGCATTGATTTAGTAGCTGGTTATAGTTTCAATTCCATCAAAGTGATTCCTTTTTCATATGATGCTTGACCCTCCGAGAGCTTTCAAGGCCAAACCTGTAAAACTGGAGGGAGGGGGGGACAAATGCCAGAGACACTTCTAGAGGAATCACAGCTGTTTGGCCCCAAGCGTCCATCCCATGGCTGAAGAGCTGAGTACATAATGGTACTTTTTTGGGACAATTTTGAAAGCACGCAAAAAATGCAGCAGCTTCCATTTCCCTTGGTAAGTGTTTCATAATCCTGCTGACGCTGGGCCAGCACCTGTGCCTGTGGACACGCTCTAGCCTTCGTGTTCTCACTCTGGGCAAAGGCTTCATGAAGTCTGGTGCTAAAAGAGTCCTCGCTGTCCGGAAGGCCAGTCCTTGATGCTCCTGAGCTTCTGAGAATTCATCTGCTTTTGACCTGGTAGCTGCCCGGATCCAACACAAAAGTACCATTTCCTGGCAGAAAAGACATGACTTTTCTGGGGATCAGCTAAACATCTACAGCTGCAGAAGACTTCTTCCGTGTGAAGATGTGACATCCCTGTTCCCAGCCGTCCTCCACCTTCTCTTGTGGAGATTAGGACCTCCCTGGTCTTCGCACTGCGCTTGCGGCATGGAGAGGCGGTGGCGGGACAGGAACCCTTGCCTGAAATTACTTGGCCCTTCAGGGGACCGGACGTCCCAGCACACTCTGTGGGCAAGACCAGTTCTCTTCGGGGCTGTGGCCTCTCCGTCCGAAGGAAGAGAATCATGGGGACATTTTGGCCAGTGGCATAAGAGGCCATTGACGCCACATTGGTCCGTCTGTTCTGACTGGAAGTGGCTCTCTGGGCACCCAGATGGAGCAAGAGGCCTTCGCCCTCTTCTGCCAGCAAGTCCTTGAGAATGGGGGGACTGAGCCCAACGCTTTGGCTGCGTGTTTGCATATTATGCTCAGTGTAACCATTAGTCTTTCGGTTACCCAACTGGGGGGGGGGGGGGGGGCA